CACCAAGTTCAGCCTCCGCTGAGACAGGGAAATGGCAGTAAGGGTCACAGAGAGCTGTGGCGCTTTTGGAGAATGTTCTGCTCGCCCGCCTTTGCCCTAACTGCGTGCGGTCACCTTGCGCAGGCCGATAGTTTGCCCCATGCTGAGGAAAACGAAGGGGAAGGTTGTTTAGCCACATCTCATGTGAGTGGTTTGTTAAAATATTTAATTAATTTTTTCTTTTTTCCCCTTGCAAAAGACCATCACGGTTGTATCTAATGAAGTAGGCAGTAACACGGTACTTCAGAGCCTCTCGGTTTTGGGTTCAGTGGATGGGCAGGGCACAAAAAACCTTTATCTGTGGGTCGTCAGTGTTGGGGGACAGCAGGGTGAACAAGTGTTCCCCATCCACACAGATCTCAGTTCTGTCTTTAAGCAGAATAAAATCCTGTGGAAACTATTAATGCATATGCCCTGCTTGTGCCAGTTTGAGATGCCCAAGTTGCCCCCAAAATTGGCAGTTTGGGATCTTACAAGTGTGGGGATCAGCTGTAGGTTCTGCCTGCATAAAGTAGTCTTGGTCAATATTGGTATGGCTGCTTCAGGAGGACTACACCCTTAGTGGTGCAACCCCTGAGCACACGTAGGCGAAAGACCAACACCTTCAAGAGAGTATTTTTGCTTTCTAGTGGGAATTACCCTGTGCCTGGGACAATCCGACATCAGTTGATGGTGCTGGTGTGTAAGGAAAGCTGAAGTGGTGTGCTGAGACTCTGGCAAAGCTGTAAAACCGTACTCACCTTAAAATCAATTGGCAATAAAAGGAAAACAATTTTCTGGGAAATAAGGGGGCAGAATTTCTTTGAAGAGCATTTTGCTAGTGCAGAAAGGTATCAACATAGTGTTGAGTCAAATTACTGCACTTCCCTGTGTGGCTTTGAGTCATGCAACTGGAATGTTTAGGGGTTTGTTGTTTTTCTTTTTCTACTTTCCTGTGCATCAGCTGACTTGAATTAGCCTTTGGAGCCAATATGCCAAAGCACCTTCTCTTGCCAAAAGGCTCTGAAGTATTTAGTTGGAAGTTCTGTATCGTGCATTAGAGCCTGACTCTCTTCATCATCTTCCAGTGCATCCACTTTGGCAGAGTCCGCTTACAATTCCTGGAGGCACCCGGCAGTCTCCTATCAATATCCAGTGGAGAGATAGTGTTTACGACCCCTTTCTGAAGCCTCTGAAAGTCAGCTACGACCCAACAACATGTCTTCACATCTGGAACAATGGATATTCATTCCTGGTTGAGTTTGATGATTCTACGGATAGATCAAGTAAGCAAGCAAAACTCAGAAAAATCTATTTAATATCTTACTAATGCTTAGAAAGGAGAAATATTTGCATGATGTAAAACCTCAGGACAAATGTTGAAAGTGAATGTACAGTGAAAGAATGCTTCAGCTAAATGTGGATTTACAGTGATGGGAACTGTAATGCAGAAGTTCTAGGTAGGCCTCACTTTTACTATGTATTTGTTACATGCACATCATGCACAAATCCTCTGTTGTAGATTGAAACTTACTCTTTTTGCACAAGCCTTAATGCCCTGCCTTTTGATTAGGTCTTGTAATAACACAACTTTGTCTACATCAGTCAGTCTTCAGTCATACGTATATGTATCTACTTAATTTTAAATGAGTTTCCATCATTACACTTTATTAATCCGCCACTTACCTCTTTTGCGGTGTTAGCAGATATATTTAATGCATTTAAAATAATCGGCAGCAAAATGACTTTCAGTTGGAAAGCATACATACTTACCTCAATAAGCTTTTGGAGAATTAAATAATACTGAGCTGCTACTGTAGGGAGCAGGTGCACATGTTCCTGTTGTTTTAGTGTAAGCAGGCGTCAGTGCATGCAAAATCAAATTATGCATTCCAGCAATTTAATGTGAATAAGCACTCTGACCTGAGCAGCTAAGTCTTTTTTTAATTGCTCAATAAAGTGACTTAAAATCAAGATACTGCTACCAAATTCCAGATTTTCTGTCCGTTGTTCCTTTTAAAAGTTGACTTTGCCAAAGGATATTGATGGTGCCTATAAAGAAGATATTTCGTAAAGGTAGGTGAACTGACAGCAGATGGTCAGGGATGTTGTGAAGCACATGATTCATGTTGGTTACTCAACTTCTCCTGGAGGGAAAAATTGAGGGACCCTGGGCAAGTTTGAACCTGTTTGGTTAGAGTAATTTATGTTTAAGGTGACTGCTTACCATGAGAGATGCTAGAACTCTGTAAGGGATTAGAAATGCTCTTGGGAAGGTGGCTTTCAGCACGCTAATAAAGAAGTGCTTTGTCTCTGCAATACCAGTGTTTTTGGTTGATGTTTGGAAAGAGGCTGATAAAACAATGTAGCAAGAATGGCAGTGGTGGAATGCGTGGAGCTTTCAGGGGCTTGTGTGACCTTTGGGTTTTTTTATTATTTTATTGTTTATAGCTGTTCACCCAGAATGTTAGTTTCCAGCCAGGGAATATTCTTGCCCTTGTTCTTTTGAGCACTAGAATATGTAACGAAGAAACCAAGTAGTGCCCTTCCGTTTTTACAGTACAAACTGCTGTTGTGTTAGTGAGGTGGGGTTAGAGGGGAGACTAAGATGGAGACATCGCTTGTTAGCTGATCAGTGTTTTGAACTTACTAACATTAGATTAGTTTTGCTTTTAATTTGACAGTCTTTTACTTTATACAGCCATACCCTGCTATCTGTTGAGGATGCGTTCCTGAAAAGTGTAATTGTGTGCAGTTCAATGGATAACAGTCTCTTTTTTTTCTGCAAGAATTGATGTAATGGAGGGGAATTGCCTGCAGGAGGTTAAGAATATACAACATTTAAATACACAGGGATGGTTTTTGTGACATAGAGGCAAGCATGGAATCATCAGGACTGTCAATTAGAGGGTGCTGCCCTTTCAGAGGCTGGCTATTCAGAGCACATCACGGCTCTGAAAGATCTTACCCGCTTCATCTGTAAGAATGAACACTTGACGTAAATCTTTAAGAGTGTTCTTGCTGCCTTTTTCTGGATGGCTGCCTTTTCATCATCATCATCTTCCTCAAATGAATTAAAGTCAATGAAGGGTGATGACGGCTAATGGAGGGTGGCATTAAACTAACGGTGACAGGACTCCAAAACGAAAGACTGAGAAACAACAGATCACGGGATGTTGCTGTATAAATGGCCAATTTTTCAAATGCCTGCCTCTCTCCTCCACTTTTTTCTCTTTACTGTTGCTATTTCTGATTTTTCTTCCTGCCAGCTTCTGTCTAACAGTAATAGAAATCCAGAGAAGGAAGCTTATGAATAAACAAAAAAAGCAACAAAACTGAAACAGAAGATGAGACGGACAAAATTAAATGTACATCCAGGATAGATAAAAATGACCACCTCCTGAGATGAGACAAAACGAGACTTGGGCAAAAGATGAAGGTAGTGCTGCCACGGGGTGTTTGCTTATGAGCAGAGCGGAAGGATGAAGAAGAGGGTGTGGGGAAGGTGTGTACAGAACGTGGTCCTGTCTGTGTGCATGAATGCCATCTGCTGCAGGGAAATGAGACTGAAATGGAACTAGGGCTACAATAAAAACTGATGTGATTCTTTTCCCTGGTTGTTGTTAGAGTTCCTTTAAACTTCTATTTTGTTTTGAAATTATCAAGACTGGTAAATTGAGAGGAAATGAAATGGCAAAAATGCTTGTAAAGGGACTGTAAGTACCTGTTTGTTTCCTGTCACTTTCTAGTGTCCACTATAGGAACCCGATTTTCTGCATGTGAGTGCCTGTGCCTAACTTTACTCGTGAGGCAAACATTCAGGTGAATGTGATTATTAACATGAGTGTAGTCACTTGTGGGTTTGCGTCATCACATAATCAGGAGTGGATAGTGTTAGAGCACAGAAACTTTAATTCTGAAAGACTTGGCGATGTGGGCCACATCTTCCTCCCATCCCTGAAAGTTATCTTTCTCTGTCATGATTTTTTTTAGTGATGGTCAGTATTGCATTTATGCTAAGAGCTCAGCAGCAGTGGATGAAATTAATTAAATGTCAATTTGCATAGCTTGTTTTAGCTTGCTTTTTATCAAAAGCAGGCCTATCTAGTTAGCATTTCAAAACTGCTGTCTGGCTTTCAGGAAAAAAAAAAAAAACAAAACAAGAAAAGCTCTTAATGCCTCTCATTGTTTTCTCCTTAGCATTAAAGTGATTAACTTCTTTTCTGAAGTAGTGTTGGGATTATGTACTTTTATAAAGTGGTTTGCTATAAAATTTAACCATGACATACAGTTAGGTAAAAATCAGCAAATAGGTCTCTACAGCTACATATTTGTTGTTAGCCCTTTGGAAGTAATTATGGTCTCTCATTTACCAGATGCTGTGATATAATAACTAGCAAGAAGACTTTGCAGGATGATCCTGGTTCAATTAGGAGGAAATCAGTAAAACCAAATAGTATGTGGAAAACAAGGCATGGACTTTTTCATTCATGTATTTCCGAAATGATGAGAGGCCTTCTGAAATCAGGAGAGCAGGCTGAATGTTTACCTTTATTCATGGCTGAAAGGTGCATTCAAGCTTCCAGAAACTCAGAATCTTGCCTATAGGCAGGCTGTATGTTCAGATACTTTGTGGAGTGTAGCTTGAACAGGTTACAGTAGGCACAATATTAGCATATTTCTGGCAGTGCAGGAAATCTTTTAACGTTGGTTATGCAGTCTGAAAGCTGCATTGAAGCAGAATAGTATGTTTGGATTTTTGTAACTTGAAAAAAGCAGATTTGAATATTTGACACAATGTACTGATGTTTCTGACAAAATTGGGGTTTTGAAGTCTTGTATTGTCATGGGAGACTTCAATATTTTTCATAGAGAGTGAGGCTTTGCTGGGATGTCATTTAATAGATGTATTCATTGCTTTGTCATTATACATGTTTCTTCTGGTAAGGCAGTTCTCATATGCCTGCTCGAAGAGAAGAGTATAGAATGTAACATGTCATCACCATGACTCTACCAAACTTGATGTGAGTTGGAAAAAAATAATCCCTTGAGGGGAGATGGATGAGGAGACTATTTAGCTTATCTTCAATTTGATACAGTTGATTCAGACTGCAGGGAAAAATAGTGATGTGTTCGCTTGAACAATTTTGTCATAGCAAAATAAAGTGTAAAAGTAGCCAAGCAATAGGGGACTGTTTTCAGTTAAGGTAGTTGCTGGGCAAATTTATTTCAAGAAGGATCTTGCTGCATTACTTGTCTGGACAATTCTAAATCATGTTTATGAATATGTGTGTCTTGTCTGTTTTTTTTTTAGTAATTGTTGGAGGTCCCTTGGAAAACCAATACAGGCTAAAGCAGTTCCACTTCCATTGGGGAGCTATAAACGAGTGGGGTTCAGAGCACACAGTTGACAGTAAATTTTACCCAGCAGAGGTATGAGATAAAATACTGAACAATGCAAATACCTGTGGAGACTGGAGGCTTGGTCTCAGGCTGTCTGCACCTATACTGCATGCTAGAAAAGTCCCAATTTGAAGAATTGCAGCTTACTGTTAATGATCAGACCTGGTAGGTGCTGCAGCTCATCTACCATTTTATTAGTAAGTTCATATTCACTGTGTTTTCTGGAGAAGAACACAGTCTTAAAATTGAACATTGGCCTCATTACTGAACGTTTCAGTAATATTTTCTTCTCCCTGAATGTCCCCAGGGGTAGCTGCCAAGCAAGCCAATGGCAGGCAGCAAGGTATCGTTGCTGTTCCAGCTCTGTCTGGATGGAGTGGCATAACTCTGCTTGTCCTTCCCCCTTTTAAAAGGGGAAAGGGTGAGACAGAAAGCAGACTGAGGGCACAGCCAGGTCTTCATGAACTCCCAGGTCCCAGCTAATGTGGTGCAGATCAGGTGGACAGCAAATATTGAGGTAAATGTGCAAGCTTGGATCTCAATTAAAAAAAAATTAAGTGCTTTACTTTTAGCTTAACTGCAGCTCAGGAGTTCACAGGAGGTGTAGGATCCGTTTTCTTAGGGGAACAATGCATGCGCTGTATCTCAGCTGCTCTGTCTAGTGGACCTTGAAATCTCCCAATCCTTACTGCTTTAAAATCACTTTATTATTACTAAGTGCCATCAGAGTCACAAAGCACATACTAAATACTCTTTAAAAAATATTTAAAGAGAAAATGGAAGACTGTTTAATTCTCACACCCATACCTGTAACTCAAGAAGCCTGGTCCTGCTTATCTTATGTATGACAACTGTCTTGTTTATGTGACCCCAGAGCGTTGGCTAATATTAGAAAGTTTATTCCAGTTACCAACAATTGTTTGTGTGTTTCTTAAGTTGTCAGAATAATGTACAGCAGAGTTGTATGGTAATATAGTGATTATTGTGATCACTTTATTTTCTGTTTTCAACTCTTAAGCAATTATTAAAGTAGCAAAACTTTTGTGATTAAGTCACTACTAAGGCAGAGAGACTGTCAATAAAAAGGATGGAGCCAATGGGAAAAAATATAGATTAAGTTGCTCAGAGGAAAATATGACAGGTATAAACACAGTTACATGCAAAAGATGGACAGTTTGAAAAATGATTATTGCTTGATTTTGTGAAGATGTTTATCTCCTGTTAATGTATTCATAATGATGCCTGTCAGGGTGGCAAGATATTATTAACAGCAAGACTGTATGACTGAGTTTTGCGGCTGGGGCTGACTATCTAGTTAATACACAAAACCCCTCAACGGAATGCTCGTATTGGACTGTAAGCAATGCAGAGGGAGCTTATGTTATATGCAGAAGAATGTTCCTTAGCAGAATAGCATGCTCTTTGTCCTCTTGTGAGATGGAAGAGCCCTTCAGTTCCAGGTATACTAAGCTGCTTCTGTGCCTTTAACTAGCATTCCTGTAATCAGTCTCCCACAGACAAAATCCCTTTCATATGTGTGAAATGCAGTTTATGGGTCTTTAGCTATTGTTTAAAAAAGGCCAAAAAAAAAAAAAAAAGGGAAGTACCATTATTTTCCAATAACATTTTGGTCCTTATTTTTGTGGTAAGTGATTTTTGAGGTAGCAGACACTGCAGGGTCTCAAATTGCCAAGGCCCAAATGTAGCAAAGATCAAAAGTCAAGTTTCTTGATATCATTGATGTGCTCAGTGCATGTGTTGATTTCTCATTCATTTATATTTCAGTTGCATTTAGTTCACTGGAATGCTGTTGTGTACCCAACTTTTGAAGAAGCTGTAATGGAAGGTAACGGCTTGGCTGTTATTGGAGTGTTTTTAAAGGTAATTTCATATTGTGTAATAAGCTGTAATGATGCCTCTTTATTTTCATTTTGTTAAAACTGATTTAGGACAACATAATTCTAGATTGTTATTGTTGTTTTAAAAAAAATACCAATTAAGGTAGATATGTAGAATGTCACCTTAATGATTCTCTCCTACATGTCTTCTGCAGATAGGAGCACATCATGAAGGGCTGCAGACACTGGTTGATGCCTTGCCGGCAGTTAAACACAAAGTAAGTATTTTTAAGTGTCCCACCAGTTATCGCTCAGCATAGCTAATGCAGTCATTCGACGTGAAGAATACTTTGAGAATAGCAAAACACTGATAAATACTTTCTCCCTGAAATGTCAGTCAGGGGCCTGATGGACACCTTGGGTGAATTGTTGATTATGCTGGTGGCAGGGGGAAGCTAATTTTTAAGGAGAAATTGTATAGTTTAAGCTTTCCAAACCTCGAGGTCTAAGAAATGATGCTATTGAGATTGTATCCCCTTAGAAGGGCATATACATGTTTAAGGCTTGCCCTCACTGAAGCCTGCCCTTCCTCTTCTAAGAAAACAGATGCCACTGGATTAGTTTTCATATGTTGTTTAACTGGAAGGAACTTTCTGTGCTGTGTAAAGTGGTAGTTTATTTCTTGTGGAATGAAGGCTTTCTGATTTTTGTCAGATCTTTGAGGAGGAGATTGTTTGCTTTTTTATAAACACTAAATTTTCTACTAGGGAATGGGACTCTTTCTTCATAGCTGATTTCTGACTTTTGCCGGGAGAGGGAGTGCTGCATCTCTGATAGCGCTCAGAAACAGCTCGTGCTCCTCCAGGTGCCCGTTCCTTTTTTGAAGTGCACACAAAAAATACACATCAAGAATTTTGTCAGGTTGTAAGCACATGTAGTTGAAGTCACTGTGGCGTTATTTATCACAGTAAGGGTTTTTTTTATCCAAATAAAACAAATATTTATGGCAGTGCAGTGAAAATTCTGTCAGATAAATACCAAACAACTCAGTTCAGTGCCAAAAGCCCTACAAAAAATCTGTGACTATACATCCGTTATGAGAATATAATGGTTTACAGCATAAGAATTTGAAAGAAACTAAAGTCAAGGGTTTTTTTCTTTAAAAAAAAAAAAAGGTAGTATCAAACGTAAGGCTCATCAGGATGCATGTGGGCTGCTCTGAAAGGGATTTTATTTCCAAAGGTTGTTGGTCACCCAGCAACTCATCAGCACTTGGTTTAAAACATTTGAAAACCTGTGTTGCCTTACCAGCATTATCACCGACTTAAGCACCAAACCCTGAGGAGCATCGCCCTGGTGAGGAGGAAGGTCAGATAATACCTATTCTGATGTCCTTGCACCTTCCTCTCTCACTTGAAGGGTGAAAGCTGCCATCTAGAATCTCCTGCCCAACTCCATATTTTTGAAAAATCTGTTGATGTAATGTTTCTCATTCTCAGTGGGGAACTGATAAAGCCTGTCTAAGCAAAAACAGGATCTTCCTTTCCTGCATTGCCAGTACATCCTGGAAATACCCCAGGAGTAAAATATTTGTGTAGGAAATCATGGGCTCTGAAGCTCCTGCATGCTATCTGGTATCTCACTTGTGGGAGTGCACGTTCTGGAGACATGAATACTTGATATGATTTAAATGAAACTTTAGTCCTCTTCCGTCTCCCAGCTGCCTAAAATCACATGGTGAAAATTAAAAGCGCTATTGTTTGCTTGTGTATCTGGCAGAGCTACCTGAACTTACTCCACCACTTAGCCTTTCTGTTTGCTTCTAGCTCTCACAAAGACATAGTCAGTTGCTCCTTCACACTCCTTGTTTCTTTCTTCCGCGCTGAATTCCTAGTGGCTTGTGAGGATGACAGAAATATTTAAATTTTGTCTACTCACTAGCTGCCTCTTATGTTTCAAAGCCACTTTACCAATTTTGTACAAGTTTATGGGGTTTTAAATTATTATTTTATGTAGATAATTATTAATATTCACAATACCTGATTTTGCATATGCATACATAACACATACAGCATTTAATCTTATTGTTAAGATCTTTTTTAATACAATACAAAATACAATTTTTAAAACCAATTTTTTTCTGGGATTTAGGACACTGTTATCGAGTTTGACGTCTTTGATCCCTCCTGTTTGATACCATCATGCCCTGATTATTGGACCTACGCGGGCTCTTTGACTACTCCCCCACTTACCGAATCAGTCACATGGATTATTAAGAAGAAACCCATAGAGGTTGATGAGAATCAGGTAAATCTCATGCTTATGTTTCAAATCATACCATGCTGGTTTGGCTGCCTGCTGCCATGGAGGGGAAGATGCACAGAAGTAGTTGCTTACCAGTACCACTAATTCTCTGTGAATATACAGAGATCAGTGACTGCTTTCACACCAGTATATGGGGAGGAATCCTGATGTTAACAACCGCTAATATTGAAAGACTTAAGACGTCTTCAGTAAACAGTTAAAGATGCTTCTCCAGCTCTCTGATAGTTTTATCTTGATCTGTGATAAACAATGCCTTATGCTGGAATCTGCCCCTTGAAAACTTCTAAGGTTATTTACTGGAACACTACATAATTTTGCTCTCCTTACCAGGATGCAGCCCTTTTTGTGGTATGGAAGGAGGAGAAGGGGCAGGTTTATGAAATTCCAAACTCTGACCTTTTGTGCATATTCTTGATAGCCACATGCATTTGCACAGAAATCTTGCAGAGACTGAGGGCTCAGCCTCTGTTCTTCCCTTGGGCGGACTCTGAAGGTACAGAAGGGATGGTGGGTGACTCCGAGTCCTTGACATGCCATTCTGATGGCAAGAGACAGTGAGTCCCCACTGGGTTTTCTCCTTTGCCTTTGTAGGCATGTTTATATTTGGCTGTACTGTCCTTGAATTCTTTTTTTGTTTGTTTGTTTCCCCCCTTTAAAAAGGACAGACAAACGAAGGTTTTGGCAAATGTCTGTATCTCAGAAGTTATGTCAAGTGAAGGAGTTCATGGTCAACCCTAACTTGTCACCATGTGCCCTCTACTGCTTGTAATTTTAGTACTTCATGTTTCAATGTGATGTTATTCTTTGGTATGAACTAGATGGAGGGACAAGTAGAAAATGGTCAGAAGGAGGACTCACTGGAATTGTACTACAGTTGTGCTTTTTGTTGGAGGTTTTCAGGATTTTTTTGGTCTATTCAAAGAAGTGGAGTACTTTGAGGGGCATTAAAGCATAGAACAAGTCTTGGAGATTGTTGCAAAGCAAGTAAAAATGAACAACCCCAAAAAATCTGCCATTTTTTTCATGGTTCAAGAGGCGCTGGAAGTTATTTGTGCATTGTCCCTGTTATTTGAGGCTTTGATTAATAATGGAAGTGTGAGTTCAATGACATGAGGCAAAATATTTTCTGATTTTTAATACAACTTTTGCATAGAGCTAGTCCATCTAGAAAGTCGTGCTCCAAACAAACACTAACTCTGAAGAATAGGCATGTATGTGATCTTAATGTTTTAGTTTACATAAAGGAACAGGACGGGAAGAACTGAAGATTGTTAGCAGAGCTGAGAGAACTGACTACATAGTATATCGTTCTTCTTTTCAGCTGAAACTTTTTTTTTCTTTTTTCTTGGCTCTTCTTCACTCTCATTCTTTTATGGCATAGAAAGGCTCATCGTTTGCTTAACATTGTAATGCCCTTGTGAGCGTTAAAAGCTGATCTGTTGCAGACTTTATTTTAATCGCCAGTTATAAACAACTGAGAACAACTACTATGTAGGTTGTTGCTTGTTGAGGTTCCCTCTTTTCTGAGTGCCAGTGTATGCACATCTGTATAAGATAACTGAACTCCAGGAAGGATGTAAACTAAGAAGTTTGGAGAGGTTTATTTAAAGATGGCACATGTTCCAGTATTTGAATGGGAATGGGTTCCGTCTCAGACATGCTACGTTTGAGATTTGATTTGCCTAAAGGTAGCAGATAACTGTCAATTCATCTTCTGCATTGATAGAGATGATGATGTAATCTTTATCAGCGGGTGACAAAGAAGTGCCAGAAGTTTATGCTAAATTTCTCAGAATGCACATGTAATAGTACCTTTGATTTTTTTTCCCAAGCATGAATAAATGTGTTTTGTCATGAACTCCAATAATTCTCCAGTTAGTAAAGTCACAAAACTGGACGTTTCTCATTCTCAGCTGGAGGCATTTCGGATGCTGCTCTTTACTTCAGATGGTGAAGAAGAAAAGAGAATGGTAGACAACTTTCGCCCTCTTCAGCCATTAATGAACCGAACCGTCCGTTCATCCTTCCAAAGCAGGCATCTCTTGAATACTGAAGTACAGCCCAAGGACCATGTTGAGCAGATCAGGCCATAGATGGCCCATGAAATGTCAGTCCAGACTGCAATACCTGGATATTACTGACGTCATTTTAAAATTATTTTTCCTTTTCCTGCAGTGTGTGTATGCCGTACAGTTTCATAGCCAGCTAGTTTGAGTTTTCCTAAGTGCCGTTGGACCTCCAGTAGAGAAGCTGTGGGGTTTTTTTAGTTTTGCTTTTTTTAAGAAGTAAATATTAACCCCTGACAAGTTAACTTGCTTTAAAGCAGGGATCAATAAGAAATTATTTTGACAGTTAAAGGAAAAATAAGGGCAGGAGATCTCTTCCCCTGCATCTTTTCTGAATTGTTCTGTCTCTTTCAGTGACTTGCGTGAATTAATAATCCCAACTAAAAACGTTGGGAAGCAGGAAGTGTGAAGTATTAATACTAATGACGTCCTTTTGTGGAACTGTTTCAGAGGTTTGGGAGGAGAACTAGCTTCTCTTGTCACATATACAGTGACATTTTATCTTCTTCCTATTTCCTTGGTGCTTAGGTTGACAAGAGGAGAAGGAAAAAAAATGACTTCTAGAATCTAGCCTCTTTCCTTTCTATTAACTGCATCATCCATGTTTGATACAGATGCCACAGAATGTCCACTGTATCTAGACCACAAGTCAGAAGACTTTTTCTAAAACTTTATAACAAATGTAGAAGCTTTTAGCTTTGGTAGCTTTTACTTTTCTGTGGCAGTAATGTACCAGGAGAAGAGAGCAGAAGAGATTTCACCAGTATCTCAAGATTGGCAAGAGCAGCAAATGAAGCGAAAATGTCCAATTGATCACAGGAAACTGATCATATCAAAGGAAAGCAAAAGTAGATAAGCCCCAGCTGACCCTCCCAAGGGGATCTGGGGCACTGGGAATCAGTTTCTGAAACCCAATCCAGTGCTAGGAGAGTATGGACAAAATGCAGCATTCAGATATTTGAAAGATTTTTTTTTTTTTTCCCCCCTCAGTAACTCACAGAGCACTAGTGCACTCTCTTCAAAGTTTTGTCTTAAGATGTACTTTTCTTGGAGTTATCTAGCTTCAGGACAACTAGGGACCAGATTGTATTTATGGCACATTATGGTAACAAAGTTAAGTGATGGCCAAAATTTATTTGTGGACCAGGCAAAATTGTTGTGTAAGCTGCCAGCTGTGGAGCCTTATCCTAGAGTTACGGTCCAATTGCCACAAGTATTATCTACCTCTGAAGCATACTATTACTAGCCGTAGCCGAGCCGAGCACCTTTCTCACTGGCTTTTTATGCTTTACTCTATTTAACAGTATGCCTGTGCATGAAATTCATGTACCAAATGTATGGTCAGATTTTGTGATGAGGAGCAGGTCCATCTGTAAACTCATGATGTGATCTTGATTGATTGTATTTGAGGAGTCTTCTTGGAGAACAGATGTTACTTGGTCTGCTTCTGCCAGTAAGCAAAGTCGCTGGTTCCTGGTGTGATTCAGCACAAGTGAAGCCAGGACATTAGCTGGTCAATACTAAGTTCAGAACTTCAGAATCGATACTTTTTTTTTTAAGTCCCAGCGTTCAGTTTAAAAGCACTTTAACACTTTTTAGTGTGACCCTGATGACTTTAAGGCTTTTGAATATTCTTGATTAACCAATTAAGTGCCTAGGTCGTGCCTTTGCTTCCTTAATAGCTCTACCTCAGGCTGTTATTTGCAACAGTTGTACCTTTCTCCCTTGGGAATTTGAAGTGTGGCCACTTAATCTTAGAGTGACTCTGCAGGGTAAATGTAAGAAAATGTCTCTTCTATCCCAGTGTAGTATAATTATTTTTACTGTGTAGTATATTCAGCATGGCAGTATGTATGTTCAGGTTCATTACCCCTCCCGCACCCTTACTGTTCTGTTGAACCTTACCATCTTGGCTGAACTCTGTAGAACTATACCATCTATACCATCTCAGTTGAACTATAGTCTTTGGCATCATCAGACAGGCTTTTTACTGTGTTCCTGGTCTGCAGAATCACATCAGTGATGGTTTTGCCAGAGAATGATAGGTTCCAAAATAATTCTGGAAGGGATATCTACAGTTCCAGCAATAGGAAAAGAATTCTTTTACTTTCTACCTGAATGTACGTGATCTTGTCATTGTTAAGCTTGAGGTTTTTGTTCAGTGCTGCTATTGCAAACACTTTTCTGAGGAGGACCACATAGAAAGATGGCAGTGATTCAGAACTGGCGTATATCTTGTCTATCTTTGGGATTTTTTGCTACTCATTATTAGCAATTAGGAAGAACTGTGCTATAAAGACATCTTAATGTTGACTGCACATTTAAAAATACAGGTGACTCAACAGTACTAAGCTAGCTATAGGTAGCCCGCATCAATATCCCTATCATACGTGAATGGTCTTTTAAAAAGCTTCATGCAATTGCTCAGAGGCTTGCTTTTTTTTTTTTTTGAGTTGGCTTGCTAATTTTCACCAAGTTTTTGTGTACCTCTGATCCACGGAGCTTGCTTCGCTACTTAATATAGCTATCCTAGCATATGCAAATACAAAATCTATATTTTGTTCTTAGGGAGCTCCTGTGGTGTAAATGTTTAATCTTCAGATGCTTCATAATGCTGTAGTATGCTTGTACCCAATTGAGTTCTCAATGGTTAGGTTTGTTCCACTGAAACAAATTTTATTCCTAGATGTGTAAATCTCTTCTTAACATGCTCACTACCATGCATCCATCACAGATGATGTTGAATATTGTATTTTCAGTGATCTATTTAAAATCCTCATAGAGATTCACCTTGTTCAAGTATTGTCATGGATGTTTTGTTAGACAATAGGTGTATTATCCAGTCATGCAGTTAATAAGCTATACTCCATACATCTTTAGATAAAATCACATCTAAGTATACTGACATAAAAGTAATCAATTTTAATTTCAGCACTGATTGTTTCAAATATCTGGAAACAGGGTCAACATAGAAAGAATTAACTCTACTGTGCTACAAAAATAAGTTTTACAGGGATTTTCTGTTACAGTTATTTTGCTGGCTTTTGAGTCTTGCACTTACATGTTAGTGTTTTAGCATCTCTGGTTATGGTAGGCAGTATCTCAGTTGCAGGGCGGATTGTAGCTGAAATTAGCGGTCGGAAATTAACAGGGTTTTTGTGGTTTGGGGGGTTTTTTAACTTTTATGTTACAATGACTGTGTTGGCCTTGCAAAAGCTAACTTCAAGAAAAATTATTCTGTGTGTCTGCACATGTATGTAAAACAGGAGATGGATATAATTCTTTTGCCTTATTCTTTCAGTTGCATGGCGGAAAAACAATTTGATTTGATTGTCGGACTAGAGGAATATTTGTAATGATTTTGCACAACTAAGTTACCTTTCAGATAGTTTATCTGCATAGGACTCTTTAGACTCTTCTTTTAGATGGTACAATACAAAAGGGTCAAACAACACATTTGTCTTTGTCCTTGCATAGTAGTCACTTCCGTTACTTAATACTGTATTGGGAGGCAAAGTGCTAGGAATTAAAGACTAATAGAAGTAATGGTGAGGACAGCTTACTGAAAAGGGAGTAAAAGGGTTTTGAGCATACATAGATCTGCATTCGTGTTGGTCTGAGTTCCAACTGCCTTTCAATATTTCTGTTAAAAGTCGCTCTTACCAGAAGTCTCGTTCTTGGTGACTTCATAGTTGGAATGGCTTCATTTGGCATGTGGATGTTTGATCCATATTCCTACATTCCAGAACTTCCACACCAGTGCACTTCAGGTGTATGCCACCACATACACCTGACCAGTCTTGTGTTGTCTTCTGTCATGAATGGCTTGCATTGGTATTTTTACCGCAAGTCTGACAGAAGCGTATCTTTTGGCTTTAGAAATGGAGATTGCTGTGGTCTCATGAAAATCTCCTGGGTTTTAGGGTACTGGAATTCTGCACGCCTTACTTTTGTGGAAGGGTCCCTTTTTCTGCTTAACTATATAGTCAATAGTATTTGCTTTAAAATTAGCATGCCTTAAGTTTGACTGTCTTAACTTGTATTTCTTGGCACATCTTTGCTTCTTTCTTTGTGTGTCTTGTTTTTGTGGCAGTTATTACATTGTTTATTTTAGTGTATGTTACCTGCCTAATCACAATTTACTGAAATAATTGTCTTTACGGACAACATATGTAACAGGGAATGCCTTTTGTACTCTTAGGATACAGACATTTTTCCTCACTTTTTTACCTGATGCAAAGAAACTTCTAGCTGCTGGATTTTAAACTGTTACTGTTAGTGTGTGACTATGCAATAAAGAAACACAGAGAAACCTGTGCCTGTATCTCATTGTGTAATTAAGAATTAAAAAGTAGATTCCTGTCAAGAAAATAATAAATTCCTCCTTGAGAATGAAGCAGTTCATTATGAGTGGAGTCTAATCAGTTGTCAGACATGCCGTGATTCTTAAAAGCTATGAAAGACTCTGCTGAACTGTATTATAATTGGAATGAAAGAACAATGACCCCTCTGTTGCCACTGTACTGATGGAAGGATATCTAATTATTTGTTACATTCGGCTAGATGCAACATGCTGTCTAAAATGGGATTCCAAATTTTGAGGATCTTTGCTAAACTACTTCATTTGACACTAATCGTTAAACTCAACCTGTCAGCTAAGCTCCTTTTTCTGTTATGTAGTTGGTCTTGATAAAACTGAACATTGATCTGATGTGTGGTGTCACTCTCAAGAGTTTCACATTTAGTGGTCGTGGCTACAAGAATCTTACCAAATAACCTGAAAAAAACTTTGAGTGAAATAAATTACTGTTATCGATTAAAAATTGGCTGATCAGGTGAAACAAGCATTAATTTCTCTGTCTCACTGCTTAGCCGTGCTTAGAGTCTAGATATCATATAGATATGTTATGCTTAGCTCAATTCATTCAAACAAGTTTCCACATCTCTTGAGGTGAAACGTAGGAGACTACATTCCTGGCCAAGGAATTTCCGCCCCTCTAGAATAATTGTAGACAACACTTTTATATAAGGCTCCCAAACCATGCTATTTGGTACCCTCGGCGGTAGGCAAGCCATTTCAGTATGAAGAAAGGGTGGCACAGGTTGAGTGAAGCCAGCTCCACTAAGCTACCACTACTTCAATTTACCCAACAAAAAAGCTTTAAAAGCTCTTGTTTTAGTA